TTCGCCAAAGTTTCAAGAATATCCGGATGTACGATACACTTCACGTGCGAATACGTGAAGGGCATCGTACACAAGTCTGGATATTCGTTCGTGAAACTTTGGCGAACCAAGTTTATGTTGTTGCTACGGAGGAACTCTGGCATCGCCATTTCAAAGTGTACGGGGTATTATACGAAAGAATGCGTTTCAGCACAAACAACTCGAAAGCACAATTCTCATGGGAGTAAAAATGAATTCATAATGAAGCAAGAACAGCACCAACAGAGAAAAATGTAACGTTTTCATAGGCTTTTCGGAGGATTTGTACTCGGTAAAATCCTGCCGAAATTTTATCATAAATGCAACAAATAGCTAACTTTTCATACATGAACTCAAATAAAGAATACTGTTTGTCATTTCCGTGCGCAAGCCACTTTTAGGAGAGCAAAAGTTGACCACCCCCCTGGATAGCAAAATTTACTATTTTCAATTTTTTTTATATTTTCCATAATTTAAGAACTCAAGCAATCAATGCATATAAAAAATTACATTTCATGAACAGAATTGTGGAATTGAGAGCAATTTCAAAATTGTCTTACTTTTTTTGATACACCCTGTATGTGATATAAAATCATGTTAATTTACATAAACTTTAGCTTTGATTTTCTCGGTTTAGACAAAGTTTATTTTAAAAATTACTTCGCCAATGAACACGTATAAGATGAGTCGTTTTTTAAGCCATTTATACGCGTCGTGTTTTATATGTGATAAAACACTCCTACGCGTGCTTTAAATAGTACTTCTAATAGCATAAAGGAGAATAACTACACAAAAATGATCAAATTAATTATTAGTCATAATATCAGTTCGATGGTTCAACTGAACACAGGCGGCAACAAGTTTTTACTGCTTTACGCGCTGCGTTAAATTAATCTGCACACAATTATATGTTGAACGAAACCAAACACTTTTATAACTTCCAGGCATAAAATTCTATTCAATTAGCCTTTCTCACGATGACGAATATCCGCCATTTTTGGGTGGCATCTAATTCTCGTTTACCAATGCAGAGAATGAAAATAATGCGAAAAGCATTTTTTCAAAATAAACTAACCATGCATTTACAAAGCAAATTTACCATCATTTGTCAAAAAATTATAAAAAGTTGCTGTTATGTGGACTTATTTCGCAGACTAGTTCGGCTGAAATGCCACCCAAAAACGGCGGCGTGAGAAAGGCTAATTGTGTTTACGCACCCATGCATGAGTTCAGTATAGGACTCAGGCATTCAAATTATAACAATAAGGTGAATTTCTAAGGCCACCATTTGTTGTACAGGGTGTCCCAAAAAACCCGAAAACTATTGAAATCACCAATAACAATTTAATTGTTAGAATTTGAATGCCTTAGCGCTCTGTTGATTCCCACGAGTGCATAAATGATTGACATAAGTAAATATTATGCATAAAGAAATTGTTTAAGAAGCTGTTTTTAATCCCCCAGGAGCAGAAAATCGCGCACTTTACCAGGAGATATTCCTAACTAAATTCTAGTACATGCACCTTGTCAATATTTTACGCATCATTACGTCCAGCTGTTTGGTAGGGCATTCAAATTTAACAATAAGTGATTTCAATAGTTTTCGGGTTTTTTGGGACACCCTGAATATTAGTTTCTCATCCCCGCCCGCATGCTTTTTAAGAAAATGGTCTTGTTCGCCATTATTGCCATTATTGTCGTATTTGACCATTATTATAAATTTTGTGATGTCTTCAAAGTGAAATTCGAAAGAAAGGCAATTAGAAACGTTCCCAAACCAAATTTTATAGTTAAAATACAAAATTTCATATTCAAACTGCCAGTTTTCCGCGCATTACACACATGCTTATTATATATCCAAACTCAGCTACGAGACGTTCTGCAGGGTACAAAATTACTTTTACATGTGGAGTCAGTGGCCATGTTTTTAACATCAAAACATGCTTTCAGTTGCACTTACTGATTTTGTGCTGTTTTTCAGAAAGTTTCAGCTGTATAAAACATACACACGCACAATATAAATGCTTAACTATGCTTCCAAAATAAAATTTACGGGGAGAAGAGGGGAAATCCGGCAAATAATGGCATAATGGTAATGGCCCGCCCGCCCGCATCAACTTTAGGAGAAGCCCTGGATGAGAAACTAATATACAACAAATAGTGGCCTAAAGGTTTCCTTTCTTTGAGACACCCTGTAGTTTGCCTTATACAGTGTGTCTCAAAAAAACCGCTACCCTTAGAATTTCACCCGGTGTTCTAATTTGAATGCCTGAACCTTGTTGACTCCATGAATGCGTAAACATTTTCACAGGATGCATATATTAAAGATCTTCGGAATTAAAATATCCTTGAAAAGCGAAATTTTTTATCCTGGGAATTGAAAATAGTTCATACAAAAGTATAACTGCACGAAAATCGTTCAATTACATATTAGTGAATGTCAAGCAAATGGCTCAACTTAGCGCAGAGCAAAGAGTATTTATTGTCTTAAATTACCCATGAGTTCAAGATAGCACTCGGGCATTCAAACTAAAACAATGGTGAATTTCCAAGGTAGCGGTTTTTTGAGACACCCTGTACAGGGTGTATCAAAAAACCTGCAAACTTTCATGATTCAGAACTAATTGATCCCAAGCGTGGGTAAACACAATAGTTGACCCATTCGCAGTCGAACTGATAATAAAACTGGCAGTTTTCTGCATTACAAATAACTTTGTGTTATTCTAATTTCTATCAACGCGCTTAATTAGAATGTATTTTCAAATCCCAGGAGCAAAATAAGTAGCATAGGCATTGAAATGCTAGTAAGCAGCAGAATTATGCAAATTATAGTGTTTGCAGGTTTTTTGAACACCCTGTATTACACAGTCGATAAAATAGTACAAAAATGATTTATTTACACTTATATCTCATTTGTGTCGGTTTTCTTTGATCGTCCGAGTTTTATAACTAGCTAATATACCTTGAATAAATAATTATATCAAACTTTTCGACAAAACGCGAGAATTTTTCATCAAAAATTTTTGAAAATGACAAAATATGTTAGAAAACCTCCACAAATGAGATATAAGTTAGTTATAAATCTCGAAAGTCGGTTTATAACTGATATATTGCCTTCGGACGCTGCGCGTCCTTGGGGGCAATATATCAGTTATACTAAACCTCCTTCTCGGTTTATAACTCTAACTGCAAATTATGATTTGATAGTTCAAAACCTAATTCTTCCATTCTTGAGTACATGTTATAATTATTCAACCGCAATTTATCCCGACTAGAACGCTTCATTTGGACAAGTTATGGACTTGTATTTACAATTATAGAACTTTTCTATAACAATTGACAAGTGATGGTGAAAGGGGACGCGCCCTGTACTTATACGGCATGCTTTGTGATTGGTTGACTATGCGTGGCAACAAGCTAGGATCTGAAATAGAAAATACAAATAAAAGGCGCACGTACTTTCTGTATTTCGCTATACACAATGGGCAGAATATGCTAATACAAAAAGCATTTAATTTGCATGCAATAATTCTATTGTGCCTGCAAGTGAAACACAAATAATGATTGAGCAATTCAATGCTTTTATATGCATAGACTCGAAACTCAGAAATTTTACAATTGGTGAATATATTTAATATGCCCTGAAGACATCAGTTGTGGTGTAAAGCTGGTTACAGACGAGCAAGTTTACTATGACAATTTTTTATGTGACAAGTTTTGTTTGCTCGTCTGTGCGCACAACTTTGACAATTTTTTTCTGAAACAATGATCAAATTACAAATTTTGTTCGTCTGTGTGGGTCAACAAAAAAAACTTGTCAAAGTAATCTGAGCATTTGATGTGATTGGCCAGCGGACTATTATAATTTTTCTGTCATGGCGGCAATAAACACCTTTTCTGACACGTTCACACACCACTAAATAAAACTTGCCATATCAAAACTTGTCCTATACAATTTGTTGCATATACACAAATAAAACTTGGCAAATAAAACTTGTCACATAAAAACTTGTCATAGAAAACTTGCTCGTCTGTAACAGGCTTAAACGAAACGTTAGCAAATAATTAAATAACTCTCCCTTGGTGGTCTTTTATATTTATCTTCAAAGCATACAAAAAATGGAAAAATCAGCCTTTCCTTTCAGGTTCCTGCAGCAGCTTTTCTCGTTATTACAGAACGAAATCTAAAGGTTGAAGACCAGAAACGAAATCTAAATATTGAAGAATCGTCCCACACTGGCCAAGTTAATATGATGTTTTATCTGTTCTGGATGCATTTCTACCAATTGTTGACTGCTTTGTGTTTGTTCTGGGCTGATTTTATTCCTGCATTTGGTTATACGGATAACATTCAACATTTCTGGGGGAAGTACGTGTATTTTGTTCAATTATACCGTCAAATACGTGCAATTTGTGTTTGTGGAAAATATATACCACTATTTCATTTGGGAAAACCTAGTCATCGGTGCAAATATATACATTAGAAGATGTATATTGAAGATGTATATATGAAGGCATTCCCAATTTAGTGTTATACTTACTGTGTTACAGTTGTTTTATACAGCTAAGTACTGGTGCCTAGTTCTAATCGAAAATTTAATCTTCAATACTATAAGATTATTGAAACTGCTCCATTAGAATCATTGTCAATTTGTCATGGCTGTTTTGAAATAAAATCTGGTTCACTCAATTATCCATTGAAATTTTGTATCAGGCGCGTCCAGCAGACAGCTATTTCAATTAAACGCCGTTTTCCACTAGGCGGAATTTTGCGCGCGGAGCGGAATTTTTCTTTGTCTTGTGATTTCTCGGGTGGAACTAATTAGAAAAGACAAAGAGAAATTCCGCTCCGCGCGGAAAATTCCGCCTAGTGGAAAACGGCCTTAAGGTTGTCCCCCGAGCAAAGCGGAAAAGTCGAATACGAGCGCGAAAGGCTGCTGGGATTCGCTAATAAATTAATGAATTTATTAGCGTATCCCAGCAGCCTTCGCGCTCGTATTCGACTTTTCCGCTTTGCTCGGTGGACAACCTTAATTGAAATAGCTGTATATCAAGATGGGTTTGATGATCCCTTACTTTGAACAACCACATGCATCATTGGTTCTACTAGACCAATTTTAATAATTGTGGTGCACAAAAAAGGTTTCGTATCGCTCTATATTCGCTGCACTAGTTTGCTAAACTAATCTATTACAGCTTGTCAGTCTTAGTCCCTCCTTTCCACGGGCTTAGCTTCGTGCACGGGCGTGCGAGGAGAAAGGAGCGACTGCCGACAACATATCAAGAAACGAACTACTACGTTTTGCATAAACATTACTTTTATATCCAATTAAATATATCCAATAGGAAACGTTAATGTCATATATGTGTATTTATAAAATCAACATTCAGTCTGGAAATTATTTATAGCATAATTACCATATATCAGATTTGATTGACAGGCACATCGATTTCGACCAATGGGCAGGGCGTCTTTTAAGAATTCATCAGTGGGGGGCCATCTACAAAAAGGGACCATACTATACCGAGTGTGGAGCAATGATAGATGGTTTGTTGGTAACAAAAAATTTGGTGTGGTATCGCATTTAATAGTGGCGGGG